CCTACATGGTGTGATTTTGGCTCAGAATTTTGGAGCTCTGTCTTTTGTATCTCTTCAGGCAGGGGCCAAGGGTCAACAGGCTGCTGTGTGGGTACAGAGCCCAGAGGCACAGTGACTTCCTCTACCCACATGAGGAGCAGGTGGCCATTTTATTTTGCCTGGTGACTTTCCCAGCAATGAAACACCTGCCAACAAGCTAAGGTGAACCATCCAGAAGAAAACCATGCACCTCACTCAGCTCTTCACCTTCACAGATGACAGTGACAGTGCGGGGCATGTCTAGGCCTGGTTAGGTCACTCAGGGCAAGGCAGATGGAACCAACTCCAGGGAGCACAGAGGATGTAGCTGGTGGAGGGAATGAAGCTGCTTTGGCCAGCAGTTTCTCTGCATCCTTCTCAAAGAATGTGACTGCTTCTGAACTCCCCTGTGTTCTTCCCACAACCTCTCACTTTTCACCCTCCCATGACTGCTCCTGTTCCCTGTTTGTTACCTGAGGGCCAGAAATTTCAGGGATCTTTGTTCTTGGTCATCTGATGGTCTTGAAAATCTATCAACAAATTCAGAAAAAGTCACTCACACACCAGACAGTTCCAGTTCAACCTAGAGGAACACAGTGGCAGTGATCTGTGACTAGAGAAGGCTCAACTCTTGTCTCTGAAGAAACATACTCCTTGGCCATGTGGTCCTTCAGCACAATTGCCTGATGTGATAGATGACCACAGCTCCCTGCATGTAGAGCTACGCCAAGTGTTTCAAATGTGCAGGAGAGTGATAGGTGCAGCAATATTTCTCTAGCCACCCTCTCTGTTGATGTTGCATCCTCCTTCCCTCCACGGCGGTTTCTAGGCTCAGAATGCTAAGACCCAACTTGGCTAAGAGGAAACATATGCTGTTCCTGAGTAGAGGAACAGGCCTTTCCCATGATGTCTCTGTCCAACTCTTCATTTCCCTCTACAAATATCTAAAGCCTGTGCCTGCTCATCCAGGGAGAATTCTCTGCATGTACCAAGGTTAATGAAGAGTTCCATGGCATCCCCCAGATTCGACCCCATTTGTCCCTCCTCTAACCCCAGCTGGAGTCAAAGCACATTCTCAACTGCTTCTGGGTCGATTGCTATAGCTGCCATTCAGTACACTTTCAACCTTTGCAGAGATGACAGAGCAGAAATCCAGGAAGGGAAAATGACTGAACACCTTCTCTGAAGTCAGTGTGAGCACAAATCTCAGCACCCTCCTGGTGAGCCCTGCCTCCATCCCTATTAGGCAGCTCCTCCTGTCACAGCCTCCTGGGGAGACACTGGAGACTGTGATTGTGCAAACACTGCCTGGCCTAGAGAAGATGGAGTAGGTGATGTTCCACAGCCTCTGTCCTAGCAAGCTTTCCCTGCTTTAGTCTCACTGTACCTTGGCTGAGTTTGTGGGCGTGGTGCTCTGCCAGATTATGTCCTTCAGACAGGTGATCGCAGAGGCCCTGGTTCTGGCAGCTCTCAGGGCTGTCCCATGTGAGCAGATCCTTGAGATGCTGATGGAATAAGACAGAGGCATCTCTCCTTTGCTGTGGCTTCTGCTTTAATTGGCTCAGTTCTTTAATGTGAGCTTGTATGAAAATATCGAATTCCCTAAGGTGGGATAGAAGGAGAGAGTCACAATTTGAAGTCGGTAGAGGAGTGATTGCCAGGCCTTTGAGAGACTAGAAGAACAATTCCTTGAAGTGTTTGAAACATGATTGTGTCTTACTGTTGGCAAGGACACATCAAAATACCTGAAGCTAGTATGGCTACCACCAGCCTGTAGTCTCTGGTGATTCTTGAGGCTTTGGACCATGTGACCTAATGCTGTGCTAGGAGCTCATGTCTGGGTCTTGTTACCTTCCCTATGTGTCACCATTGATAAGAGAATCAGATAGAGTCAGCAGATGTCTAACCACACAGGACAGAAGTCAAGGTGTCAGAAAAGAGGCCATCCTGAAGGACAGGTTCAGACTAATTCTGTCAGGACCAGAGGACACAGGGCCTTGTGCAGAGGCCTTTGGCATGCCTGGTGGAATGAATGAGATAACCAGCACTTGTGTTTGTCCTTGCACTGCAAATGGGCTTCACTGCCCTTGAAGGTCTCAGCTGTGTCTTACCTGTCCAGGTCATTCGTGTGATGAGGTTTTCCTCTGTCCTTCACTGTGCTCATCACCATCATGATCTGTGGGGTACATATAATCAGTCAGACACGGAGAAGTTCTGCTCACTGATGACAAGCATGGCCACTCTCTGGACACAGAGGCTTTTGTTATGGATGTGTATGTTGAGGGAATCTCTGAGGAAGTCATCTCAGTGATCTCATTTGTTACCATTATGCCCTGAGTGATTTTATGACCCTGCAGAGAAAGTGTCTTTTTCCTCCAGTGTCTCCATCACGGACTTCTCTTCTTAAAGTCAGGGAAGTGCTCACAAATGTCTGTTGTTCTCTAGAACACCATGTTCTCCAGATGTTGTCCAGTGTTCTGCTGGATGTCTGCATCTGCTCCCTACTCCAGCCACAGGGCCGGTGCCCAGGACCAGGCTCTGTACCCCAGCACAGCTCTGTCATGCAGCCACTCCCTTTCTCTAAGACAAATAGAGCCATCACCCAGTACACACGCCTAGGCACCTTGTGGAGATCACAGGTCAGCCTCTGGGTAATAAATGGGAACCTATTTCTCAGGAAAGGTATAGACAAGATTTCAGTGTGACCCTCTCTATAATGCTCCCTATCCTACTCCACACTGAGAGAGGCATTGTCCTTTTGAACGTTCTGGAAATTATCCTTGTTTTTAGTGTGGTAGCTACTAAGACAGGTATGGAAAACCCCGCCGCTGTGATAGATCATAGATGAATAATCAGTAATTAAGGAGGAATAAATCTGATGTTGACCAGGCTCAGTAAAAGCATCATCAAGGACAGGACCTGCAAACTGTCACTGTTCATCCAGGGTTTCCATCACTCGAATCCACCCATCATCCTTCATTTAAACTTGGACCTCTACTCCGGTGTGGCTGTCCTCATCCCTCCATTCAGCTATCCTTAACTAAAGAATGAGATCCCTCCATTCAGACAATCTTTAACTAAACAATGAGAGGGAAAATGAGATCAAGTGTTCTTGGTGGAGGTGTGGAGTGTTCTGAAGGCTGGGAACCTAAGAGCAGCTCACTGTCATCAAGTGCTGTGTCCAGCTTACCTCGACTATACTTGCTGGAAAGCTGTCCTTTGGGCTTCTGCCCCTTGTCCAATTGCTCCTGAAGCCTGCGTCCTTGACCTCTATGAGCATCATGCTGAATAAGGATGTCCATGAGATGGTGATTGTGTGTGCAGGATGCATTTCTGCTTTCCTGGAGCTCCTGGTGTTTCTGGATGAGATCTTGTACCAGCTCATACATTAGAGCACCAGACTCCCTAAGATAGATGGAACATAAAACATTCGTGTGGAAATCTGGAAAACAGTGATAAGCAAGAGAGAGATTTCTTTGAACATGTCCTCATGGAAGCCTCCAAATGGAAGTCTGGCATGTGTAGGTTGATCTCTCTAGACATTATCTATAGTCTTCTGCTACAAATAAAGCCAGTGGAGTCCTTAGCCATTACACACCTACATACTATTTCTTCCTGAAATATTTTGCCTATGTTCCTTTCTTGACTTAAATAAGGCCAAGAATGAAGAGATGAAGTTCCCTCCCTCCCTGATGTTAATGGTATGAGGGAGAAAACAGAGTACATGCAGGTCAAGAAACATAGACCATTTAAGCTCATGTAGCTGATTATCATCAGTTCAGGAGTCCTAAAAGTTTTAATCAAAACAGAGGTATCAGTGACAACAAAAGTTTGTTGTTTCAAGCGTTTCTCTGTGGGAGGCTGACAGTGGAAAGATGTAGTCCGCACATCTGCTATTCCCTAGTGGACAGATGAGATCCCTAAGTATGGCTTCAGTTGGCATTAACCGTGCATGAGAAACAGAGTTACCTCAGGAGCAGGGGCTCTGGCAATCCTTCATTCTCACAGTGATGATTTTTTTTTTCATTTTTCTGTAAATGAAATCAAATAAAGGCAGTCACATTATACAGAACTTGCATTGCTTATGATAAACACCAGGATGAATACATTCTGTGGTAACCCAAGGATATCACAGGATGTGTCCTGTGAGAGGTGAGTGGCATTGCTATTCTGAGCCACCCTGTGGATAGTCACTTCTGGGAAACAGCAACACATGCTTGGTGCATTGAATGAAGTGGGGTCAACTCACATTTTGTCCTGGCTTTCACAGAGAACTGGCCTAGTGTTTATCACAGAGGTTGCTTCACCCTGACTCAGTAGATGGAGTGCTTTTTGTTGGTTAAATGTAAACTGATACTCAGACTAGACTGATGGGTGCCATATGTAAAAACTCTTACACGGACACTTCAAGGATGTCAAGTCCACGTGATTACAAACTTTCTAGACTTTAATGCAGCCTTCCTCACTGTACATAAGCAATAAGAGTGTTGTGATCTGATACTTTTAGGACTATCAACTGAGGCCATGCCATTCTGGGCATAGTGCCTGGAGCTCAAACAACGGATCTCAGGAATCAGATCCTTGACGTTCGGGACAAGAGTGGCATCTGACGTAACAGACACAGCTTGTCAAAGTATCATGTTCGGGACTCTCAGAAGGATCAGCTGAGGGGAGACAAGAAGAACAATTGCACTTGGGTGAAGCAAGTGGCAGAAGTTGCCAGGACTCTTCCTACCATGACCTACACCGGAGCCAACAGTGTGAGTGCAGGCAACATTGAAACCCAGCTTGATGCCTTGAACTCTCCTGCTGGCTGTGCTGAAAACCTGAAACTCCCGTCTTAGCATGTCCTTCAAACCATGGTGGGTTTACAGGATCTACCTGCAGACAAACAGGTCAATAAGCAAGAGTGAGGACAAAGAATTCTGAGGCTGCCTAGGAGACTACCGGGAACCTTGTTTACTGCATAGTGCAATACTCACTGGTCACAATGATGTAACAATCTAGGGGTTGTAGACGTGACAAATCCACAATGTTTCTGATGTTTTAGTCCAGGAATCTTAGGAATCTCTCACTCATAATGATGATGTGCTCACACATGCATGGATTTGAAATTGGCACTTGTGCTGGAAGCTGGGAGCTTGGTGTTTAGCCCAGAGATGTTTTCACTCCAACAACCATCTTCATGCCCTCCTGTTGTGTATGCACACTGGATGGGTGCTGGCTCCTCCCACAGCTGGCCTGCTCCTCCTGAGGGGATAGAGGAAGTTGCACACAATGACCTCCTTCTTGTGCATTCTCTCCTCTCTTCCCACCCTATATCGCCCTCATGTGACTGGAAACTGCAGCAACAGATAAGAAGTCCCCTTTGGAGTGAGGTGTTCTATGATCTTGGCATCTGGGCACAGTTCTGTGTACTCAGGGCCTGTGGTCGTGTTACCTGGGCTCAGCTGCTGGTACAAGGCACTCTGACATCCTGCACATCTCGGCCAGTTGGTCTCAAAAGTTGTGGCCGTGGCAGTTGTTACAGCCATGATGGGTGAGGAGGTTGGTGAGATGCTGTTGGAGGTGGTGGGCTGCGTGTCTCCCCTCTTGTGAGTTCTGCCTCAGCTGACTCAACTCTAGGTCCTGATCTTGAAGGAGGATTTTGGATTCTCTAAGTGATGAGAGAGAGAGAAATGGATCTATGCAAAACTGAAGAGGCTGGATCACATGGCTTTGAGGTTCCTGTAAGACGATCACTAAGGTGCCCCACATGAATGCTAGTCTCAGTGTGTTGCCCTGCCTGAGCAAAACATAAAAGGGAAGATGAAACCTAACCCCACCCTGGGGTCAGACTCTGCTGCAGTAAGGTTCCTGGGTGCTTTCTCATGTCTTTCTTCTGTCATGGGAGCCAGGAGTCTTCTGAGAGTTGCTTCAGTAGAAGCTCCTCCAGTTTCCAAGTTTAGCCATGGGCATGTCAATGTAAAAATGCATATAGTGCTTTGTGCAGTAATGGGCATTAAACCACAGCAGAAATGTGACTTGACACAGCTGGTGTTCAGGATAAAAAAAAAAAAAAGAAAAGAAAGAAAAAGATCAGATTCCTGATTGGGAACGTGAGAGGAAGAGAGGTGGTGTTTTACTCAGGACAGATGACAAATGTTAGTCAGCAGAACATTAACAATAACAGAGGAGGAGAGGATGACTCAACAATATTGTCAGAGTCATTCACACCCTCCTTCCGTGTGTTCACACTGCATGGATGCTGTCTCCTCACCAAACAGTCCCTGTTCCTACTGCAGAAAGGAGGGAGTTGTACACAGTGACCTCCTTCCTGTCATTCTCCCTTGTCTTCACACCCTCTCTGGCCCTAATGTAACTGCTACTGGAGTCATTGGAGAGAAGTCACTTTGGGAGTGGAGCATCTTGTGATAATTGACCCTGAGTTGTTCCTTTTCATTTGGGTACTTCATGTCCATTCACAGTATCTTGTGGAAAGGAAATGAGACTTGCAACAATTGTGTCTATCATGTTCTATTTCTTTGTATTTACTTTAGAAATACTTGTGAGGTAAATACCCACCCTGCTCTTGGCACAAATGAATTCTCAGCTCTGCCAGTTGCACTGCCCACCAGAGAGATTCATGCAGCTTGACCTGCTGCCTGCCCTTACCTCCGTTTGTTGGTGACGGGTGGGCTTTCTGCCAGCTGCTCCTCCTTGCACTCTGGCTTCTGCCCTGGCACAGGCTCCATGATGACTTTGTACGGCTCCCATTCTGAGAAAACACAGACCATTCTGCCTCAGTAGACAGCTGCACAGGCCACTGAGATGGTTGTCTTCAGCAGAAGAGACAGGGTCCACCCTGGAATGAACCTGGTGTCCCTCTGTGAGCAGACTTCCATATCTATTTCTCAGCGGCTCAGATGTGTACATTTATAATGCTGAGCATAGAGCAGATCAGCAAAGGGAAGTTATTCACACCACGAAGCCTGACTGGATGATACAAATGGTGTTGGGCAGAGATAATCCATACCCTTTGGTGTGTCTTTGAGACCTGAGTCACTTTACCAAGCTTGTGGTCTGCCAAGCCAAACACTAAGCTTGGGCACGAGTCTCCAGTGTATGTGGGAAACACCAGGGATGGCATAGGAGAAGGGTCTTGTGTGCTGGCATTACAAAACCAGTACACCAAAGTCTCACTGATAAAGCAAGAATCATCTGAATACTCATGCAGAGTATAAATCTTAGACCACAAATACCTGAAACAAACAACTCATTCACTAATATATTGATGGATCACCTAACAAAGTCCACTGGGAGTCTAATACCATTCAAACACATGCACAGGAATTACCCGTGGGTTCTGTATCACTTAGTGGGTTGACTCTGAGTCAGAGAGGTGGGTACTGCTCTGTAAGATATTAACACAGGGGGCACTGAGAATCAGAGAAGAATGAAACCTGGCCAGGGTTCTGGAGACCAGCCCAGCAGCCCTGCTCTCTACATATTGTAGTATCATGATGAGTCTATGGTCTAAAGTTTATCCCTGTTTTCATGTGATTCTACTGAGGAGTGGAAAAGGTACCACTCCAGCATAGCTTATGTTTTCTTAGAACACAATTCTTCCTTTCCCTTTTTCACCTGCTTCAAACTTTTGTATGAGAAACATCTCCTCCAGTATACTTTTAAGAGAAAGCTGCATGTATGACAGAAGCCTGCTCCTAGTCAGAGATGCCACGATCTCCCTGTTGTTCAAGCCCCTGTTTCCTAGGACTCCTTTGTCCCCACTCTCAGGCTGATAGAGAAGGCAATCCAGCCTGAAACATGGCCTGAAGAGAAGAAGCTCAGTTTCCTCGAGTAGGACTTCCCTCTCGCAGCCTCGATGCCCACTCTTCTCCTGTGTCCCCCATGCAAGAATAGTGTCAGAGAAGAGCAGATGTGTTTGTGCTTTTATCCCCTAGATCCTGTACAGACCATCACATTTCCATCAGTTTCACCAGCTCACTGATGTGCCAGATGAACCTCTGTGGAGACTAACAAGATTGTGATGGTGATGTTACATGTCTGCAGGCTTTCCTGGGTCCACGGAGGATCCCAGCACAAGACTCTTCCAAATATTCGAGAAATAAATAAGCTGTCCTGTACCCATAGCAGGAATCAGTCACAGGGATTGTAACCCAAGTCCCAATCCACACCTCATCTCATTCCTCAGAAGCAAGACCACCACTCATCATCTCCAGAACTTACGGTATTTTTGTAGCTGTTTGGCCAGGGCATAGGCAGTAGCCTCAGATGTTAGAAACGTCTCTCTGAGATCCTCCACCTGGTGTTGAGTGTTGGCCAGCTGGGAAAGACAAGTGCTGTTTTTCTAGGAGGTTCCTTTGGACCCTTGATCTGATGGAGTCCTGGATGATCCTGCCATGCTGATGGTTCTGGCAGTCAGTAGATCCAGGGTCTGGACAGTAGAAAATCAAACACATGATTGGTTTAGGTAAATGAAGTACAGAACTTTCTTAATGTGTAATGTCATCCTTAACTTGTTATAGTATGCTTTGATGAGCATCCAACACTTAAGAGATCTTAAACACACACAAAGCAGGATAAAGTTGACAGAGCCCCGAGCTCATGGACCTACCGTAAGAATGATTCCAGCAGAGTGAGGTAGGGAGGGTCCAGTACCAGTAACTGTCTGGAGTTGCCATGACAGTATTAGAATGTGGAGGGTGTCATAGGTCTCTGCTTTTCAGTTGGCTAAGGCTGCCTGATGCTTATGATTTCCTGGTCCTGTCTGAAGTGCACTGCTGACACAGGGCATCCTCTTACCCATTCTCACTAGTTGTGGACAATGGTGCTGATCACTAACCCATTCCTTTCCTCAAACTTCACTGACATTCTGTGTTTGGCAAAATGAGTTTCCCAAAAAGGTTCACTTTCTTCTCTCACTTTAACATTGATTGAATGCTACCATATCATAATTCTTTATCCCAGGTGCAAAAACATTGTTTCCAAAAGAAGAATGGTCGGGTGTTTGCATAGCTGGTAATGTATATCCTAGGACACTTATATCTGAAATCCAGTGCCAGAGATCAAGTCTCAGCTTTGTTCATAATTCCAGCTTTCTGCCAAAACACACCACAGACAGTGCTTGGTGATGATATAATTTTCCTCCAATTGAACTAGCTGTGTGTTCCATACCTCCTGAGTTTCTACTTCCTGTTTTGGTCTTATCCAGAGTCATTTTGGGCCTTTGTGGAGTGTGACATTGGTGATAGATATGTTTTTCTTGTTGTCCTTCAACCAGGTAAAGAACATGAAGCAATTTAAGCCGTTTTTATTTATGAAAAAGGCAGTGTTCTCTTGGGAGTTCCTGACTAATAGTATACCATGACCATCGAGGGGATGATGTGTGCTGTGTTAGTTAGAAGCATCAAGAACCACTGGAGACAGTCTGGTTAAGCACATATGTTTATTGTAACACAAGCAGAATCCTACATAGACTAAGCATAGGGTTCTGAAGGCAAGATGGAGATATAAGGTACGAACAGATTTAAACTGCTGAACAATCATTAGCCAGGTTGCAGCTAATGATCCCAGGGCTGATTCCAGGATGTAATAGAGGACAGGCTGACAGCAGTGGGCTACCTGGAGTCCTTTCGACTTGGGGAAGCAGCGTAGAGAACAGAGCAGAGTTGCAGTCACCAGATAATGCAGCAACAGTTGTCAAGTGGCAATTGGAGCTCCACTGGCAGCCACAGCTCCAAAGGCAGCCAGGCGGGTAAGGGAGTTCACTGGGAGTTCAGGAGGCGAGCACAGGTAAGGAAATGCTCGTCCTGCTGATTTGGTTGATGCGGCCATGAGCAAAGACAGAGCAGTTGACTCCAAGACATGGTACAGGAACGGGGTGGATTTCACAGCCCAGACATCCAGACATGAAAAAATGCTCAGATTCCCTAGAAAATAGTTTTAAAAATACAAATAAAAATCACAGTAAGATTCAAACTTTCTCCAGTGAGACTGGCATTCTCAAAACTCTACCAACACCACCTGCTGAAGTGGATGTCGGGAGAAAGGTACCCTCCTTCACTATTGGTGGAAGCCTAAGCTAGCACAACCATTGTGAAGTCAGTTTGGTGAGTGCTAACAACTCTGCAACTTTACCTGCTGTATAACCCATGCTAATCCTTTGTTGGTAATGCATCCAAAGAAATTGAAACCTATATTTGCAGCAGCACCATCCACAATGCAAAGACGTAGAGACAACATAGATGCCTGTCTGAAGTGGAGTGGATAAAAAAGCATGGTATATCTACTCTAAGAATACTACTTGGTCTCTAAAATAATGATTATCTACCATTCCAACCAAATGTTCCCACCTGCAGATCTTTGTGCTCAGGGAAAGAATTTAATCCCAAAAGGACAAATGTCATTATGTTTTCTCTGATATTGGGCAAGCTCCTTGCAAAATACAAGATCAAGACCGCTTACAATACTTTTGTGCTACATCTCAGGGGTTTTGATATCCATGTTTTTATTTTCATTTGTTCTAAAAAGTTCTTTATTTCTCTGATTAAAATCTTCATTTTGTCATACAGTAACATCATTTCCTTTGGCAAGGTCATGGATATTGTTTTTTCTTCAACAACACAAGTCATCATTTGTATGTTCTTTATCTTATTGTAAATTTGTAATTTTCTTCCTGTTACTGACTTTGTTTTATGGCTTTTCATTTAAGTGAATTTATACTAATTGTGTAACAGAGACTGTCATATGCAGATATGAAGATACAAAGAAGTAAGCATCTAACTTCCAAAGCAAAGATGGATGCCCAATGAAACTGTTTAATCTATCTTGAGAACAGGGTGCTGGACTCCCTGCCATTGTCCATACCAACAATGTATGGCTATACTAACCAGAGTGATAGACTTATGACTGTTTAAGAAAAACTTCACTTTTGTAGCAATATAGGATACACGTTACCTGAGCAGGGATTGGGAAAGAAATAGGGGAAATCTCAGAACCTATGTAAATGCATCATAAAATAATTTGTAAAAATATTTTTGGTTATAATTTTGGAAATATGTAGAGGTAAGAGAGGAGAGAAAGAGAATCTTCCACCCACTGCTTGACTGCCTAGATGGCTGTGATGGCCAGCAGTGAGCCAAGCAGAGGGACTGCTATTTATTTGGACCATTTTGTGCTGGCTTTTAGGCCAGTAGCAGGTGACTGGATTGGAAGCCGTGTAGCCAGGATGTGAACAGGAGCACCTATGGGATGTTGACATTGCAGGCTGTGGCTTTACCCTCTTTACCACTGATACAGTCTTAGTAAGCCCAAATCAACATATTGAGCTGGTCCAACTTTGTGCTCTCTGTTCTTTCATCCTGCATCTTTGGTAACCCTTCCTACCCTCATTATCCAGATTTATGTCTATACAAATCAAAAAGAACAGTATTGCTTGCAGAGGCAATTGACCCTCCACTCTGATCATGCTTTGTGTCTCATCTTTGGTAGCATGCTGGGAAGCAAGTCTAGTTATGGGTCTAGAAGCAAAGAAGACTGGTTGTGATCAGATAGAGAATTAGTGAGTATTTTGTTCTATGTCATCTCTCTTTATAGATGAGTTAATTTGATCACTTCATCTAGAATATTTCTGCTAATACATATCAAGTACTATTTCATAAATTTCCTATCTATTATCCCTGCACCAGAGAGGAGATCTTTACAGTTTGCTCAGGCAATACAGGGTCAATCTCTTCAGGTGGAGGCATAGAGATCAATATCACTGCTCTTAGGAAGGTTTCCTTTGCGTGCGCACACACACACACACACACACACACACACACACACACACACAACTCATCAGAATACCAGAGCTCAATGTCCCTAGCAGAATCAGGATTTCCCACATACTGCCAACTCAGCTTATTCCCCTATATCCATTCAGAGCCTGTCCTTTAACCAGACATTCTGAAAGGCTGTTAATTTGGCTGTGTAATCTAGTCTTCACACCACAAGATTTTCCAACTGATTTTCTTCTATCTCAACTCCAAGCCTGCTGGACATAGAAGTCACTGGACTCGCTTGTAACAAACCCAACTACTTGGGGAAACAAGACAGTCTAACATGCTCTCAGTCCCAATTTTCTGAAGGAGCTAACTAGACTTGAAACTGGGGACCACTATGATACCAATCATCGCTGGCCAGGGGGATAAGATTACGTTGTTCAAAACTGTAATGATCTCTCTATGCACATGTTGGGTATATTTTCTAGGGACAGAAAGGGCTCAGAGAAAAATTCAAAGAAGAATTTAAAATACACAACATGTATAATAAATCTAAAATTATGAATAAGATAATCTCATTTCCTTATAAGCATAAAAATGCATGGAGACATAACAGGAAGGCAAATGATACCAGAATTTTTCCTTAGCTCTTAAGCAGTGGAATTGATTTTGAAAAATACATTATGATAAGCTAACTGTGATGAATAAACCACCCTGACGTTTCAGAAGTTTGGCATAATTTATGTTTACTTATCACTCATGTCACATGCCACAAGGTTTGGGGTAAGACTCAGACCTAGATGGATTCCAAGTTATTGAGAGATCCAGACTCCTTTCACCTTCCACCTTTGCCCACTCCCACAAATTCTTGGGGTCCCCTCCAGCCAGTCCAGGCACAGGGAGAGGTGAGTATGAACAAAGCAAATATTGCTAACTCTCCTCATGTGGAATTGTCACAAACCATCTACAGTGTGAACATTTGATACATGACAAGTCCTTGCGTGGAATGGTGTCAATTCCATCCATTGCTCTAGTCAATGATTTTTTTTTCACAGGCCCTCATTATTTCATCTTGTCACACAGTTTGGGAAACCTTCTTTTTCTTCAGTGTTTCACATCCCCTGTTAAGACCTGGTCCTCCAGGAAGACACAGTCTATCCCCAGGTGGTGACTCAGGGAATCACAGCTTTGCCTCCTGACTTCTGGTCACATGTTGGGCTTTCTTCCTCCCAACTTCCTCCCATGTCAGTGTATCCTTCCTCCCACTTACTGCCTTGCTGAAACTGTTGGATCATCCTGACAGAATTAGTCATGGACCAAAGACTTGTGTGATTCCAAGCTAGAAACATAAACAGACTCAGAAGAAGGAAAGCAAAGTAGATGTGGGACTAAAAGACATGACATCAGGGTTGCATTGTTAGATATATGAGAGTCACAAGTGCAAGACAGCAAAATTGGCCTCCGTTTCACGGGAGTAGGATGCAGACAGGGAGAATTGGCATCCAGGGGAGAGGGAATTATTGTGTTTGCAGACAGGTTCTACCTCCTAATCTTGTCTAAAATGCCAACACAGAGAAGTGGGTAACGTTCTTCTCCATTAGCAGGAAGAACATATCACAAGGAGACTGAGATCTAATTTATTAGACAGTGTAAGGTGGTCATAGTGTTAGCTGAGCCTCAGAGCCTGAAGCTTTTGTTTTCACAATGGACTTTTGATTCTCTCGTTAGTATCTATCTCCCTGTCTTGTCTCACCCTACAGGCCTCAAAATGTTAGCTTCATAAAATGAAAATGATGTTTTCTAGTTGACATCAGATACCTTGTTGGGCCTCCCCAGCCTCATTCTGGGTCTGTTTTGGAATTTTGTCAGTAACCTATGAGTTTTCTGTGGATACAATAGGATGTAT